CGTCCAAAGAACTGGCATCAATAGCCACCCGGGAGGTCTTTCTGTTACATGGGATACCTTAAGTTATCATCTCAGACAGGGATAGCCAGTTTATGTCTAGGTTTTGGCAAGCCTTTAGTGCACAGCTGGGAATTCAGCTTTCCTTCTCGACGGCATATCACCCGCAGTCCAATGAGGCCGCAGAATGGGCAAACCAAGAACAGTTCCTACATTGCTATATTTTAGACCACCATAACAACTGGTCAGACCTGTTACCTTGGGTGGAGTTTGCTCACAATAATGCCATCAATGCTACCTCACAATTATCTCCATTTATGATGAACTATGGGTTCCAGCCATATATACTGCTATGTTGCCTGATACATTTGTTCTGTAGAGAATTCCTACATTAGAGGAACATCTTTGAGAACTCCATTCCATTTGGGTGCAGATGCAAGTTTGCTTGCAATAATCCAAAGAGCGGTACAAACTCCATGCTGACTGCCGACACCTACCTATACGTTACGGAGAGGGTCTCGCTGTCTTCTCATAACCCCAGACTTCATGTTCCCTCACTAAAACTGGTGCCTCGGTATATTGGGCCTTTCTGCTTACTCCGTAGGGTTAACCCGATGGCATACGCATTAGATCTTCTGTCCAACAAACATATTTCCAATGTTTTCCATGTTTCCTTATTAAAAGCTTGGGTGTGTGTAACTGCTATACCACCTCGGTAGCATGCCCTCACCCATCTCAGGTTGACAACCATGAGGAACATGAGATACAATCTATCACTGACTCCTGTAGGTTTTGTGCCCACATACAATATCTATTTCACTGGAGGGGTTACTGTTCAGAGGAACGCTCTTGGGTCTCATCCCCAGATGTACATGCTCCTGCCCTCCTCCATGCTTTACATTTACATTTTCCCCCCAAGCATGGTGCCCCCTCCGAGGGAGAGGGGTCATTAAGGAGGGGGTACTGTCAGGGCTGGGCTCCTGCTACTTAACGAGCAGATCTTTTCTTTTAGTGCTGAAGCTGTTCAACTGTCAGTTACCGACATTACCATTACCTGCCTTATTAGTCCAACCTACAGCCAGCCCTTTTTGCTATTTTAGCAGCTTGGTTCATTTCCTCCTTGCCCTTGCGTGGTCTATGATCTCAAATGTGTTCTTGCCTGTGTTCCTGTGTACAACTCGGTCTGTCTGATTTCATTCCTTAATCTTGTTCCTAATTTTTGGCTATGCTGACTTCTGGTTTCCTGACTCTGGCTCGTCTGATAACCTGCTTCGACATCCAAACCCTGGCTTCTGTTTTGACTATGTTCCTGATCTATGTTATTTCATTAAAGGTGTGATTTTTAACTGCATTTTCTGTCTCTGCCTGGTCCATGGTTCCTCACACCAACATAAGTTGATAAAAAAAATAGTATCTTTAGGAAGGAACATACATTCCACTTCAATAATTATACTATCAATATTAGTGTGTGCTGTAATTTGACTCCAGCATTCCTGTTCCTGTTTATTATTGCTGGAGGCTGCTATTTTGCAGCATTTTGCATTTCCAAGAGCCCCTGAGCAGCATTTTTTCTTTTGGCCTCAGTGTCTAAAACTACAGATCAACTGAGCATGTGCAGAGCAGGGGAAGATTGTGTATTAATGGATTTTACCTGTTCCCAGCCAACCTATTGCACAATAGCAGGGTGGGACTTTTGTCAATCTGGGTGACATCATATGATGTCCTCCTGGATTGCACCTCATGGGCACCTGTGGGGCCGCACTGTGGCAAGATCTGTCACTGGCTGTGTCCATTGGACACACAGCTGATGACTTATCAGTATATAGGCACGCTGCTGGTACCATGTGACCGCTGTGACCAGTCACAGCAGGTTACATGACAATTGCAAACAATGGGTGGCTTCCTTTCATGCCATCCATTGTATGCAATTTTGTTGCTAGCTGTGATTGGTCACATGTGATCACATGGTATAGACTTGGCCAATCACAGCCCAGCCGACGACACACAAATCTATCTCTCTACCCCTCACCTCACCCACTCAGTCTCCAATCGCATCACCAGCCTACTAAGTGACATATCGGACTGGATGTCACTCCACTTCCTCAAACTCAACCTTTCCAAAACTGAGCTCCTAGTATTCCCCCCAGCCTGTGCCCCCCCCTGACTTCTCCATCAAGATCAATAACACTATCATCAGTCCCACCCTTCATGCCAGGGTACTAGACGTAATCCTAGGCTCCAATCTGTCTTTTCAGCCCCAGGTCCAATCGCTGGCAAACTCATGTAGACTTCACCTCCGCAACATCTCCAAGATACGACCGTTCCTAACCTCTGAAACCACTAAGCAGCTCATTCACTCCCTTATTATATCACGCCTTGACTACTGCAACTCCCTCCTCACTGGCCTACCTCATCGCAGGCTATCCCCACTACAGTCCATCATGAATGCTGCTGCCAGACTCATTCACCTTACTAACCGCTCTGTATCTTCCACCCCTCTCTGCCAATCCCTCCACTGGCTTCCAATTGCTCAGCGGATAAAATTCAAAACACTAACACTGACGTATAAAGCCATTCATAACACTGCCGCTAATTACATCACCGACCTTGTCTCTAAATACCACCCAAACCGTACTCTCCGTTCCTCGCAAGACCTCCTACTCTCTAGCTCCCTTGTCTCCTCCTCCAATGCTCATCTCCAGGACTTCTCAAGGGTTTCACTTATCCTCTGGAACTCCCTACCCCAATCTATCAGGCTATTGCCTACTCTCCTCACTTTCAGGTGCACTCTGAAAAGCCATCTCTCTTCAGGGAAGCCTACCCCGACCCCAGCTAATATTGCAATCCTCTACTCTTCCTACCACTCCATACCCCACAGCTAATTACCTCTTGTACCACTATCCCCTCCCTCCTAGATTGTAAGCTTCAAGGAGCAGGGCCCTCAAATCCCTCTTGTATTGAACTGTATTGTTACTGTAATGTCTCCCTCCATTATGTAAAGCGCTGAGCAAACTGTCGGCGCTATATAAGTCCTGTATAATAAATAATAATAATAATTAGCTGTGGGCAATCGGTCTGGACTGGAAAGAGATGAAAGTGTCCAGACTTGAAGTGGTTAAATTGTCAAATGCCTGTAATAAATATTGCATATTGGCCCCCTGCCGTTTGAGGAAAGCTTTTTTTATTCTAATGCAGTTAGAACTTTACAGAACTGGAACTCTTCCTTTCAGAAATCTAATATGATCTGAGTCTATTAGCCCATTTCTGCTGGTGGAAGCCAGCCCTTAAAGTGTTACTAAACCCAGGACCCTGCATTCACTCTATCTGGTCTCCCACAATACGCAGAACTTGGAAATGCAATTAATTTAGTAAATACAAACTGCTAAAGTCTTGTGACTTCTAACATGTCCAGCAGAGAACTGGTTAAAGCTTGCCGGAGTTTTCTTTCTGCTCTAGGAGGATGCAGAACCCCTGACCTTTGTCTGGATAGTGCTGATTGGCCCTGTGCTGATCACATGCACTCTCACAAGAAAAAAAAACCCTCTCCAAGCAATACACACCAAACTGAGCATGTGCAGAGTGTCTCCACACAATATGTCTTATCAGGATATAAGAGGGGGAAACTGGAAGAAGGGGAGGATCAGCGAAGTCAGGATCAAACAGCATTTTTACACAATGCAGAAGATTAATCCCTTAGGTTCCACAGTGAGTATAACAAGCATTATTTACTGCATATACAGACTGAGTTTACTGTTGTGGGTTTAGTAACACTTTAAAAAGCATCTTTATGTTTGAGATCAGCAAGATGAGCTCTTGATCATGAGATCACCATGATTCGCTTGATCAGAAGTACATCCTACTGGTTTATGATCATGAACAGTGACTGAGAGAAGCCGACTACAGTGCTGTCACAGTGCTGGAAGCACCGAGTGAGCTGGCCCCCAGCATAGAACAGCTCCACTGGCTGCACGCAGATATGTGACAGTATGGGATTAAAGCCCACCACTGTGCTGCCACATATCTGCTTACAGCCATTGGTAATAGTGGGTTAAATACAGTATAAGTCACACACAATGTTTGGCAAAATACCACTTAAAGCAGTATTAAACCCAAAACAAAACATGTTATCTATTGGAGCTTACCAATCATTAGATGTGGTCACTGCATCAGTTTTCTTTTTCTAGGTGTTTTCCTTCTGTTTTCACCTGGTGATCTGGCCAGTAACCATCTCCTGCATTAGAGTGACTTTGTTCTGGATGAAGGAGCACAGGGGGCACTTTTGGAAAGCAGTATTGTTAATCTAAAGGGGAGGGGGAGTGTTAGACATACTATCAGATTTAGATACACTAACAAATTGAAGCTAAAAACCAGCTCACACTTTAAAATCAGATACATCAACAGTTTTTTCCCTGCATTAATGACCTGAAAAGTACAAAGGGTGATTTGAGGCCGCAACCAGAGAACTGGAGAAGAGGAGCTGGAAGTGGTGTTTGTTCCTGCTTACACTGCATGGGGAAAGTCCTAGGGGAGAGTGGAAAAGCCTAAATGTCCTACTATTATTACCTGTAGGAAGCATTATATGATTACTTATTTATAAAGGGTCATGGTAATCTGGTGAACCTTTATTCATTTAAAGAGCGCATAGCATGGAGGTGGAAGAGTGTTTATGATATGTTATTATTTTATTATTATAGTGCTGGGAGTAATAAAGCGATTAGAGCAAGCACCTCCTCCCTAAGCAAGTATGTTTGGAGAAGTTACTTGAAGGGCCTGTCTCAGTATGTGAAGAATAGAAGCAGGTAAGACTCTTTCATTTAGTTTGCTAGAAACTAGAAGTTGGCAATGTATAAATAGCCCAGAGGGTGTTTTTTTTGTTTTTTTTTTTGTTTTGTTTTAACAAAAAATAGAATTTTGCTCTAAACCATATACCATCCTTTAAAGCAGACATATCTTCCATCCTGAACTTTCCACTTACTGTATGTGTATATGTATATGGCTAAAAGAGCAGATTATCTATCTTCTCTTAAGAAACTTCTAGTCTAGTATACAATACTTCTATTGTTGGCTACATGAAAAAATGTTTAGGCATTTGTTTGATGTAGCAATTAGGGAATTTGAGATTTTACATTTGAAATTTTGGCACAAATTGGGATAATTTATCAAAATGCATTGGAGTCAGTGGGAAATGAAAACTTACTGCAAATTAACATCCTCACAGCATGTTCCCTATGTCTGGAGAAAATACATTTAAAGTGAATGTAAAAGGTTTTTTTGTTTTATTTTGTTTTTTTTAGACTTTGAGTGGGAATGACCATTCAGTCAGATTTTTATTGCTGCCTTAGTCCCTGATGGGAAGTTTTAACTCTGTCTATCATGTGACTATTGTCACTGAGATAAAAGAATTATAGGGTATCCAAAGTTTTAGATATTCCCCAGAGAAAAAAGTGAGGGAAAATCCTCCAATAGGAACACCTGTTTCTACAACAACTCTCTAAGTTGGGAACTTCATCCGTTGGAAAAATGTCCTTTCATTTCTTTTTGCTTCCACAGGACAGGAAGTAAAGGGAATTCTCTCCAGCATTTCACATACAGCTAAAAAGGTCCTTCATTTTTTTTAACCCATTTGAGATCGTCCTATCTTTGTTAAATGATATCCCAGTCTGGTAAGATCAGTTTAGCCATTGTACTAGAAATCTAAAATATACTCCCTTGTTTGACCATAAAGTACTGACATGTTTATTAAGACGTACACACATTTGGGGTTCTTTACTTGGGAAAAATAGGAGAAAGTGATTTAGGTAAAATATATAAAGTAGCAATTTTACTAAATAAATTCCACAGGCAAACAAAAACTGCATTTTAATAGTTTTCTTAATATTTTTTGCTTACAACAAAAATATGTTCAGGGTTAAAAAAAAAATTCACAAAATGACCACACAACAGGTGCTATAACTGAAGGGGAAAATTAAGGTTTAAGGTTTAGTGAAGCGTAATCCAAAAAAATCCCAGACCTGTTCTTGTACTAAAAATGTCCCTCATTATTGTACCTGGGAACACAATATTGGATATTGCAAAACAGAGGAACCTTAGCATTAAGTCTACTGCTATCCCCAACCCTATTGGGGAAAGCCATATGATCAACATCTCAGCACTGATATGGGGATTACATGGATTCAGAGATTAAAAAAAAGGAGTTAGGGTTAGCATTGGGGTTAAATTTATTTAGTTTAGTTTTAGTTTTTTGTTTCTTTTTTAACATTAAATTTTATTAGAAATGTTTCAAATGTAAATAGTACATGTAGTAAGTAGTCATGTAGCAAAGAATGACTTCAAGACAAAAGGATATGAACAACAATATGAAAGCTCCAGTACATACAGGGGTTGGACAAAATTATGGAAACACCAGGTAAAAGCCCAAAATCCTTACCTAATATGGTGTTGGACCAGCTTTGACATCCAAAATGGCATGAACTCTCTTGGGAATTGACAAATATAAGTCTTGTACAGTGAATAATGGAATCTGATGCCACTTTTCATGCAAAAATTGTACCACTTTTCACAGAGATGCCAGGGGCAGAAAACGAGCCCAAACCTTGTTCCCCAAAATTGACCATAGTGGCTCTATGATACTGAGGTCTGGTGCCCAGGGAAGGTACAAGACTTTATCTGCATGCTCATCAAACCACGATTTGACAAAACCAGCTGTGTGAATCAGAGCATTATCGTCTTGGTAAATGGAGCTGTCTTTGGCAAACAATGTCTCCACCATAGGGTGCACATGATTGACCAAAATTTGTACATAGTCACCGGCAGAGACTCTACCTTTCAAGGTGATGATGGGGCTTGCAGAATACCAAGATATGGCTGCCCAAACCATTATTGCGCAGCCACCATGCTTTACAGTTGGCACAAGACAGTCCTGGTCATAAGTTTAGGGGGTTAGCTTTGTTTATTAACAAAGCTATTAATGAGCTAGAGCTCATTGCAGTGATTAAATGGCTTTGTTAAAAACAACACCATGTGATTTACTTTTTAAGCATATTTAACCTAAACAGCTGACATGATGAAATTTGAAGGTAATTTTGATAAAATGTCAGGAAAGGAGATGCATAATTTTCAGTAATTTTGCTGAGAAACACTTCCCTTGCTAGGTTATTTCAGTCAAAAGAAATGATCAGTGTGGAACCATTCCGCCTGGGCTTCCTCGTGCGGAGCGATGCATCTCAGCCAATGGTCCCCTTTTCCGGCAAGTCTTCCAGCGCTCCGCCAAGGCGGGTATTAGAGCTCAAAGACAATCCTTCCCCGATATCCCAAACCACGAGTCGGAACTTTGTGTAGGGTGAATTAATGAATGCTTTATTGAACACAGCTCAATTTTATACAGCAGTAATCCCTGCCCCCTTCAGCCCCACCAGTCTGGCACCTGGTTTTCCCCACCCACAACAAAACTCTACAACACAACAGCAATCAGCACAGTATGGACTCTAGAGAAGCCAAAGACTACAAATTCACATTACACTAAACAGTGTAGAATGCCTGTCTACATAACAGCTGCTAAACATATATAGCTTTAAAAAGGGTAGAACAGGAAGACCACTTAAAGAGGGAATAAAATCAGAAAAGAAAGGGCAAAATGTTAGCACAAAGGGACGGTTCATCACAAGCAGTTATTGTGAGCCTCTGTCTAAATGCCACTTGCTGAACCCCTTCGCTGAAATTACGTGACTAATCCCTAGACATTCGTTCATGTCAGCAGAAATAAAGAGACCCCAGGATGGGTGTTTCATCAAAAAAGACATGTTTAAACTGCCTACTTTACAATCTATATGTACAGTATACTGAGGTGGTCAGGATGGAGGAAGTCCTACTCTACAGATCTTCTTTCAAAAATGCCATGCATTTTACAATTTCAAATGTAGTACATGACCTGATTATACACCCTTTTTTGTATCCACTAACTGGTAATGTACATAACGTCCCCAAATGTCTGTATGGAAGTAAACAAATGTTAAAAAATAAATAAATAAATAAGCATTTTGGAAAACAGAAATTGTATTATGTTTCTACAGTGAAAGCAAAAAAAAGAAGAATTTTGGAACACAGAGATTGTATTATGTTTCTATAGTGAAAACAAAAGCTTACAGCAATAATATTACCTGAATAAGAACAGAATTGAACAATGCCATTGTCTCTTGCCCTCTTTTCCTGCGGTGCAACCTTTACCTAATAAAATATATGACTCATTTTTATGAGGCTTCTTCTAAAACCAATAATGTAATATATTGGGATTTGCTAATATGAACTGGAACGTGCTAGTGACACAGTACATATTGTTTTGAAGAACTTAGCTAAGTCTGTATTAAATTCCAATAAGAAAACAAACATGTTTTGTTGACTTGAGCCACCTCTTATTTACATTTTATTAACTGAAATGTACTGAGCAGATTACTGAGCACCTCCGTTAATCTCTAACATGGCGAATGAAATGTTCATTGATGTTATTCTATTTTTGCAGACTTTATTATTAATTCATCATTTGACAAAGTGAGTTTCATAAAACAAAGCAGTACTTTAATAAATAACAGCCGTAAAATATATCTATGAAGTAATAATTGTTGTTCAATAGCTAATCCATATATGTAGCAAGAGATACAAGTTGTTAATACAATATGGCAAAACATTTTTAGGCTTACAATAAGACGCCTCTCCATCGCCTGTTTTAACTCCGAAAATGCCACAACAATGCATACAGTTGCAGGGCGACTGCACCGCTGAGGATGGAGAGTGTCATTTTTACCATGCCTGCAAAGCAAAGGATAGCAGCCATAGCATGTGTTCTCTTGTGCCTGTTCCCTTTGTAGCTTAAGGGGTAATACAAAAATAGCTCAACCGCATGCTTTTATTGATCCCAACCGTTGGCCTGAACAAGCCCTTAAGGTAAAGAAAATAAATTAATAGCTGACTGCCAAAGATAATGGATCTGCAAAATGCATTAGGATTATTTTACAAGAAAGCTAAAAAAAATAAATAAATATATAAATAACACTTAACCACTTGCTGACTGCAATGTACTGCGGACGGATGGCATCTCCAGGCAAAGCGACGTACGGGTACATCACTCTGGCTGTACTCCCCATTCGGAATGATGATCCTGGTGAAAGGGCTATGCGATCACATGATCACAGTGTTAGCAAACTAACATTGTGTTACTATGGTAACATTGCATTACTTTGATAAAAATATTTTTAAAAAATGTAAAAAAAACCTAAAACTGTATTGAAACATTTTAAGGGGTTTTCTTTGCCGACCGCTGCCCTGGGCAAAGCGACATAAACTGACATCACTTTCCATTTCAGATTGTGAATGGGCCTGCTCCCCCCTGTCGGTCCAGGAAGAGAAGAGTAAAAGCACTACATTTTCAACACACACATTAGATTAGGACATTTAATCCTTTGATCTCCCCTATTAACCTTTTGATCACCCCAATCACCCAGCCACTGCCATTAGTACAGTGTCAGTATATAGAATTTTTCACTGGTCACTGTATTACTGCCACTAGTGACATCAGATAATGTGAGGGTCTGTAAGCTCCCCTCCCAGCCAGGGTTAGCTAGCATTAGATTGCCCGCACACTATCGCACTCATGATATAGGTTGCTGAAAACCACCATTACTAGTATAGTATTTGTACAGATCAATATATTGATCATGAATAGAACTATTCTAGTGCCTCCTTTGTATAGTGTCCCCCAAAAACGCAGCCACTTTTGCTGCCAGCACTAGCGTTTAGCCCTTCCTCTTTTTTCATGGAAGATTTTTTACCAATTGATTGTGGACCAAAGCAATTGATAAGCACAACAATATATCACCGCCCACCAAAATTCAGCTCTCGCCAGACAATTCACATGAAAACCTATCACGATTTCTGAATTTAAAACTCTTTTGGTCCTAATCCTCGTCATGGGCATTACAAAACAGAATGAATTGTGGTCACACAGACCTGATTCATCATATGGCCACATTCTCTGCTGTTACATATATGCCCAACATGAACCAGCAACATAC